GCATAAACACATTTCATTACACCAAATACACCAAATAATATTATTTTTAGCAGCATCATATGACCCCTTTAACTTGTTTGCTTTCCTGGGCGATTTAAAGTGAACTGCTGTGCTAATGAACAGAATCCAATGGCCAAGAACAGGATTTTTGTTAAATAATACACTATTTTTCAGTTTTTTTTTTTTTACCAAACCCCATTATATTCTCCCAGAACATTTTTTTTTAAATCTTATTTTGTGATCTGAAAAAGAAAGAAGGGCATACTGTATTGGAACAACACAAGGGTGAGTAAAACTCACTCATGCACAAAAGTGTTTTGCTTTGCACTGTAACTTTGTCCCACAAATGATTCTTGTTGAGTGTGACATTAGCATGTTGTTAAGCAAACAACCGGATACTCACATTTAGTGTTTTGCTTGCGAAGTGCATAATAACCTTGTCCTACAAATGATTCCCATTGGGTTTAGCTTTAGCCTGTTGCTAAGCTAACAACCAGATGTTTCGTTTACGAAGTGCATTGTAATCTCATCCCACAATTGATTCTACACGTTAGCATGTTGCTAAGCTAGCAACCAGATGTTTTGTTTGCACATGGTAAACTCAAACCACGATTGATTACAGTTATGGTGTGTGCACACCAAATGCTAATATGTGCAATAATGCTCATATATTTGTTATCGCTCTAGATTTTCATGTCACTCACACGAATAAAATTATTGCGTAATGCTCTCCTCCATTTTCTGATACAACCGGACGTGTCAAACCTGACGTGTAAATAAGCTTTTTGTTGACTGGTTGCGCAACAACACAACAACTCGAGCGGAAGATGCGATTGAGGTGTATATCGTGCATTTGCAGCAATCACGTCACCCAAATCACGTCATTTGCACCGCCCGGTGCGAATTCGCGTCTATTTGCATCTTTGCACTGACTTTGAATGTAATCCACTCACGCAAATAATTAAATTCTCTTTTGGTGTGCACACACCATTAATTTGGCTTTAGCATTTTGCTAAGCTAACAACCAGGTGTTTTGTTTGTGAAGTTCATGGTAAATCCAAACCACGATTGATTCCAGTTGAGTTTATTTTTAGCACTGTTAAGCTAACAACCAGATACTCACATTCACAATAGTAATTGTTAGCGCAATAAACTTGAACCACAATTGAATCCAGTTGAGTTTGTCTTTAGCATTTTGCTAAGCTAAAAACTTGATACTCTAAACAAAAATACATGCTACACAAATACTGGGTAAAAAAATAACTCATTATTTTTTCTCC